TTGGTCTGTAATTAATAAACTTCTTTTATTTATGTTGTTATAAAATGAAAAATTACTACCGTCACGCATGTGTGACGTCACTCCCCTCACGGGAATCGATATGTTACATGTACCTGACAAGTAATAACGATCGTGTTGAAAACTATAGACGTGTGGCTATGCAATTTTCAAGCCGCATCGCATATGGGAAAAGCGTATAAAAATGTTCTCCACGATATTATTCTTGAAAGTTTCACATCACGCTTCACGCAGTGTTCTACAAAACCATTACAACGTATTTAAGTATAGCGTATTTAACGCATTTAAATATCTCATTGTTATTATATATTTTCTCAGAATCTATGAAAATCATTGATCGCACTCGATGGAATTTCTTAAATTTCTTTTGAAGCAATCGACATTGTGCTATTAGATTCTTCCGTGTGATTGATTTTCTCCGTTTTTTAAAATCGAGATATTCGACCATGCGTAAGCTCTGACAATTCACGATATTTTTTACGATTAAACTTTCATTAGGCAAAGAGGGGCTGTATTACGCAATATTATGCAATATTATGCAATATTATTGCAATGAAATTATTTAGAAAACATCAATTTCTGACATTTCTAACTTCTAGAATTTACGAACTTTATACAATTTACGATACAAATGTTGTCACGGCTGCAACGTGCAATAATAAAATTTCGATCTCGTTAACTGCAGAATATTCGAAAGCAGGAAGGGAACTCATGCCGATTTAGTAATTAAGTGTATTAACGTAATTTTTCACCACGTATTTGATATTATGAAGCTGGGGATCATGGAAAATTTATGACACAGCGGCTGCATTAATTAATTCTTGTTTTAATTAAAGGGCGTCATATGTAAGTAGTTGATAAATTGCAGTTTTCCATTATGATATAACGCACTCAGTGAATGCCGATTATTAACCGCGTTGCGTGCACTGCATCTTTGTCATTTTAATGGAACAACGATCGTGATGAAATTAAATTTAGTGAAACGAAGTATGAAAATTCGATAATTGTCTCTTTGACGTTCGTATCTCGTGTATTTAAATATTAATACCGTTTGATGTTAACGTACTGAGCAGATATATTGAAAATGGCGGTGAATAGTCACGTACAGCGTAATCAATCATGAAAATCATTCAGAATATTAAAGCATTTATTTTTGAAACATTAATTTTGGAATATTTTAGAAAGCTTTTAATTAACCTGTCAGCATTAAGTCGTTTTTTAAACTTTCATAGTAATTGAAACTAAGAAATTAACAAGGATAGATCAATTTTAATTAGATGATTTTAGTCCGTGAAAATATAATGTAATTTGCTTTAAATAGGAATAAAATGACGTACGAGAAAGTAGAGCACCTCTGAGTGGAGAATTCATTATATGATTAACATCTTAAATTAAATACTAATACCAGAAATTACAAAATATATATAATATAATATTATTCTATACTGAAATTCAGATCAACGATAAGAAGGAAGGAAATAATAGCATATCAAAGTGGAAGCAAATTTACATAGCGAAACATTGATACATAATCGAAACATTTGCATTATAAGATACCAGATAATAATGGATATCTTTGTTACCGAATCTCCAATTTATTCATTGTCTCGAATTTATCGTTTCTTTTTGCCTTACCTTACTTCCATTTATATATATATAAAATATACGAACGTGGTCCGACCAAGTTAATGTGTTTAAATTGTTCCCAGATGTGATATTTGTCATGGTGGTTAGACATAAGAGTATGTCATCCTGTGACCGACCGCAGGGATCGCCGTAGGATAGTTACAAAAGGACAGACCATTCGATTATCTCAGCGGTGCCTTTTGCGATCCTTACGAGACCGGACGAAAGTCTCGTGGACATGTAATCGAGTTTAGCTGCCTTCAGGAAGCGTGGCTCCTAGTTAGTCACATCTATGTCCACAAGGTGGCCCGGGCCTAACTTCGTTTAATTTTGGTCGGATCTCTAACTCAAACTTTAATCTCTAATGGTCGAAATACTTTGTAACGAGGTGAACATCGTTCTAATTAATTTACGCGCTTGTTACGCGGTATTTGAGGCTTTAATTCGGTTTAAACCCTTTACGGAAGCAGGTTAAGGAGATTCGATCGTAATTGCGAAAATTATTCATTCGATCCTTGAACGACAGTATGCGTGTCAGGATATAAAGTTGCTAAAAATACCTCTATAATTTTCTCATCCTTGAACTTATTCCTTTCTTTTTACGTAATGAAGATGCTTGATCCATCATAGCGGTTAAAAGTCAACAGTATGATTACACGGCTATATCCATGGGGCATAGTTGCAGAATTTTCTGAATTAATTAAACAAACCGAACGAATAAATTGTTCATAATTAACTATAGGTAAAAGTAACTTAAAATTTGTTCATTATTAAAAACAGGAGCTTTTCTTGCAATAAAATACCAAACCGGTTTGGACGATGAGCGATGCATAGAAAAAAGTGTTTTAAATTATTAATAACTCGAAAGTTGTTTCTGACATACTAAACACGAGGGATTAACCCTTGAGTAATACCTTTGGGCCATAAGAGACCACGACAGTTTGGATTACATTTGAATTAGGTTACTTAATCTTAGGGTATTTAAGGCATTTAGGGAATTTAATTCCATCTCGGAAATATTATAATATTAAATTTTATCTGAATTCTTATTCGCCGTCGCTGTAACTTAACTCTGATAACTTTAATATATCCGTAGAATAATACTGCTGTTATTAAATGAACATATAAAGGCGGTCGTACGAATGAAAATTTCTTTCTCCCAGGTGGCAGGAAACCAGAGGAAAGACCGACCGCTCGTAGATCATCGTTTCGAGCAGTGAAGCCGGTGATGCCCTATGAAGTCGGAGCTGAAGATGAGAGTATGATGAACTTGGAAGCATCTCCTGTGGCAGTGGTTTCGCCAAAGGTGGTGCCTCCGTCTGTTTTAGGCCCTGACGAGGAACGTCGCACTAGACGAAGAGGCTCTCAACTGTGAGTATTATATTATCTATTTAATAATGCTTCCCTGCACAAATTAAGTGGCTTCCCTGGAATAATTTTATAGGGAATAAATTTGGGGATAATAGCGGGCTATCCTTCAGCTATTCTAACTGTTGGAAACGAGTTTCGAATTTCTAATTTATGCCGAGGATTATCGATAGATTAATTTCAAGCGTTATAAAGTTTGTAAAATATCCTCTATCCTGAATAAAACTATCTAGATACTTTGAAATGTTGTTATATTTTAGAAAGTATGCGCTTGACAATATATTGATTATACTTGATAATAAATACAGTACAACATAGATATTCGTTATACGCAACATTATAATATTTCGTTAAAGAGTATATTGCTTTTTATACAAAAATTTCAGCATATTGAATTTCACGTTCGTTAGTTGAAAAATTACGTGCACTATACAAACGAAATATAATATATACGAAGTATGAATATTCGTTCCAGTGAATCAGAAGATAATGAAGCGACGAATGCTATCGTAAAAAATACATATGTAATAGAAATATCTTGGGAGGTACAATGTTTGAATGTTAATGCCAGCTGCTGCAAATAAAGTTTAATCTCCTCACAAGTGTTTTTTTAAATATTTCATGTTATCGTTTTTCGATCATCGCATCGTTTCCATATTGGCCAATGAATGAAAGGCAAATATAAAATAAGATTGTCTGTTTTTACGTATTTACATGTGTACTTCGTATTTTAGACATGTAATACAGAGTTTGAAAAAGGTGGATCAGCGTTTATAATTACAGTTCTCGAAACTCCAAATGAACAGTTCAATGACTACGAAAGATATTTCTATACAGAGACAAATGGAATAAATAGAATTCGTAAAACTAGCAGGTTGATAGTTACGAAGGTGGACATCCTGTTTTGGGAACGCATTTCGCGCTCAATTTGTAATCGCAAACTTGTATCTTTTGATTGAAGTGCAGGCCGGCTGGACACGACATGAGAACTGGCGGATTCACCGTACAAATGATAAAACTGCTGCAATTGCATCTATGAGCAATCATCGGCTGGTTCTCGGTTATAAGTTCACAATCTTGTGCATAAGCGTCTAGACTCTGTTGACTCTTACAGTTTACGTAAATCAGGAAAGCCACAAGAACAAGGAAAACCAGGGCTAAAAAGGACAAGAACAGGTCTGTCAGAATCATTTCTCTACGAGGTTCAATCCACTTTCGAAGCAATATTTCGGCTAAGATTTTGAATTTCATAAAAATTGGAATAATCGAGCAGAATGATGGAGGAATTTTATCTTCCTATTAGTTCAGATAACGGAGATTTCACGATTCGATTGTGCCACGTACTCGTTTTAGTATAGCGCGGAATATATACGATATGAAAAGAAAGCGATGATCAAGATTCTATTTATTTCAGATTTAATTTCGCGTAAATAACTCAAATTCCAGTTTCTAATTCTCATTGGCATTTCACCGAATAAATTATTCGTAGGTATCCACTAAAGTAACTCGCTTACCTTTCATTTTGCGTTTGGGAGAGAAAAACGCTTTAAATATCCAAACTCTGGGTTACCGTACACACGACTTGCCTGGCCAACATTTCAGATTCGCTTTATATACTCCGCCGACTAATTAATTATCATTATCTATGTACATCAATGCTTTTGGTTTTATCGGGTTTCGTTATCAATCGCTTCATGGATTACCGCCATTAATGTGCGATTTACTATGTCGCGATTACTTCTCTTTTATTTTTTTAATAGTTCGGTATATTGAAAAAAATAGCGATAGAAAAACTTCGTGCTTGAGGAGTAAGGAGAAAAATAAGGAAGGTCGCAAAATCAGTTTTAAATAATTCAATTCACCGGAAAAGGAACAGGATTAAATGAATTGTTTATGAAAAGCAATTGTTTATACTCTATAGTCTTAACTATGGTATTACAGTCTTAACTAGTCACGCAGAAAGACCTATATATTTATATATTTGATCTAAAAAATTTATATATCGAAAAATCTCTAAAAGTAGACATTCTTTTTCTTTCCTTTTTGTCCTTCTTTTCTCCAACTGCTATCGTTTTCTTTGCAAAAATCCTTTGCAATCTATCTCATCATCAACGTGCCATTTATCGCCATTTAATTTTTATCAGTAACATAATTGAAATATTTAAAAAATGAGCATTATATATAACCTTTCGAGAAGATCTACATACGTACGTACATAAGCGTAGAATATGTGAAAACTGAATTTCAATTGATATTTCTTTCGATTTTAATTATTTCTGAAAGATTGTTCTCGATTCATTTGCCTTATGAGAATACACGCAATGAAAATTTCTTTGTGTTTCAGGATAGACACGAGAACGTTCCTAATTCCATGTCATTTTTATTAATCTGTTTCTCGAAATTTCTTGTATTCGTCTCTGTTCAAATACACGTAACAACAGATACTGTATTACAAAATGCCCGTAATGTAGTTACTTCTGCCCATCTTTCTGTTTGTGTATGGCGAAACAGAAACTTTCGCGTCGTGCGGTCTATGTGTTCAGTGTTCAGGTTCAGCTCCTTTTCTAAGTCCTCGGAGACTTCCTCCCTACAAACGAAATATTTTCTCTTTGAAGAAAGAAGATAAGAGACCTACTTTCAAGGAATAGCAGCTCAGAGAGAACTGAATTTTACTTTGAATCGAATAACATTTTATGAATATACTTTGAATAGTTTGAATTTATTAATTCTCGATGAACATCGTGCATTTATCGTTATCCATGTTATTATATGTTGGACGTTTAAAAGGTACGGTAGAATTTCCTTGTGGTTCGTCAAATTCTCGTATCTTCTATCGAACAACATGGAAAAATACGTTTCATTTTTATACGGCTTATCGACCGTTCGTATTCGATGCACATTTCAAATTTATGTTAGACATATGTCTTTATGATATTCCCGAACTATTCCTGTTTCTTTATTGGCTCCTTTAGATATTCGTATTTATATGTTTTCATATCTTCGTAATACAGATGTCTTGTGTATCTTTACAAAATATTTAGAGTTGATACTTGCGGATTTAGAGATTTTAACGTATAAAGTTCTTCGTTCTACATATCAGGATGTTGGAAGATTCTAAGGAAAAAGCTATCCGAAAGGACATGTTCCAGAAAGATACTTTGAATGGTACGGATCTGAAATGTCTTTGTCGAAAGGCATTTCGTTTTTTCCTGTTTCATTCGAAAACAGAGAAGATTCCGAGAACAAATCTAAAGTTTGTAATCTTGTTTTTTCCCGAAACCAGTAAAGAATAGCAAATTATGTTCTTAAAGAGCGAAGACACAAGATGGAGAAAATTTCTTATATCGTAATGACTTGCAATTCGAGGATTAAACTTGAATTCGTTTATCTTTATTAATAATTTATATTATACCAAAGGATACGTGTAACTGCTTCTGAAAAACCTTGGTATTACAATGGTATTACAATTATCCGAATTAATTTCAAGATAAGAGAATTTTCGAATAACAGTTGCTCCTCTCATATTCATCTCCATGTACGTATTAAAAAAAAAACATAAATAATGAAATAAAATATGCTAAGGAGTTATGAATTCCGAATCTCTTTAGCTGCTGAATTACACAACATTTTGAGAAGATTTAATTCGATAAGATTACATTCTTTTCGTGCCTCTTACCATCTTGACCCTATTTCCAAAGTCTCGAAATACTTCGAAATGTTGAAGGATGTCATCATTACCGCATTATATTCATGTACCAATCCGTTATTCGAAGCACACATAACATTAGTCAACGTCACGATCAATTGAAGAACAATACAGCACCTTGAAGTCATTCAATCATATCGGCGTTATCGCGAATTCTGATATCGTAGAAAGAGCGTTTCTGTAACAATCCAGAAAGAGTTTCTCCTACACTTGTAATAATACTTTTAATTTCCTCCTGCGTGGTGTCTCTTCGATGTAGTTCGCTGGTTTTTTCCATACTCTTTTTAACGGCCACCCAAGCAGATGCCACTATATAACAGCGATACTTTTAATTGCTTGTGAAATTGTATCTCTCTTTCCCTGGCAGTTAGCAAAAATTCTTCTAGAGGATTGAACTTTCTACATGCGAAACGTGCTCGGATAATGAAACCTACGGATTACAGAGGATTCGGATAATAGAGAATTCGGATAACGGAGATTCGGATAATCGAGGTTCTACTGTACAAATTTCCTCTTCGTCCGCAGTTTATATTCCATTTTAGAATCAGCAGTAGAGTACACGTTGCGCCTGAAGACGCTGTACAAACCCGTACCTCGTAATTGTTTTTCCGAGAGGAAAATAAGAAGCAAGGCAAGACGTTGGACGATTAAAGCGTTAAAAAGCGGTGTAATTCCCGGAGATCCCGTCCGTGAGTAGGAAATTGCCGGCATTTCCGCCCTTTTCTACCCTCGTAAGTGCAGGGCTGGGCGCGGAAGCAGCAAAAAGTCGAGTAGATCGCAAACACCACGTTCCCGCCACTACAGAAATAATTAATGCCACACTTATGCAATCTCCCGCGAACACGTCCTGCTTCGGCTGCAGCCTCGTTTCTCCTGTACACGGGTAATCGTAGTTCCGCGCATCCATCCGAATTTCCCTGAATTCTCAGCCGTGTCCCCGCCAACTGGCTTGTTATTAATATCCGGGACGAGGCTGTTTCTCGATTTTCATTAGGTTTGCGTACTTACGAATTACGCCGGCAATTGCATTCTCCTCGAAGACGAAGATATTCCTTCGTTTTCGGCAAGTTAATACGATCTTGAAAGTAGATTAGACGGTGTTCCGTGTTTGCACTGTGACATTCAGAGGGAAACACACGTTTTGTCTTCGACGATTTCAAAATCAGAATTACCTATCCATTTGCTGGACATAATTACACTGAAAATTATCAACTTTCATGGTATTCGATACTGATCCATATGCGTGTAATTGTAAATATAACGTAGAATATCAAGAGATATTGTTTGGATCGAACTTGATATATCGCTGCAATTAACAATCTTTTTGTAAAAACGCATTTAATACTTGCGCAAGTAACAAAAAGCTTCGTCGACGAAGGGGAAAGAAGAGAGGGATAGGGAAAGAACAAAAGACATGAAACATCGACGGTATTTTACCTCCGTTTTTGTATTTCTAATCGTTCCGACACGGTTCTGTATGTATGCGCGTAATGCTTCAATCACCGATTTTGTCTCGATTTTTATCCGCGGATCAGAATATAGTTTTTATTTCTTCAAATAAACGACAATGTTCTATTTTACGATTCACAAGTGTATCCGAACGATGGATCGAATGGAAAGAACATACGAATTACACGGGACACGATGAATTCACCAGTTATCAAAAGCAAAAGAAGCTACCAATTAAAATTTCTAATTCTTAGAATTAACATTTGTTGCACAATATATATTTTCTCATAATCCACATAAGTCTATGATATATTCAGTGCAATAAACGAAGACAATAAAGAAAATAATAAAATGTAATGAACAAAACTAATAACCCCATTAAAATTCCTCTAGAATTTTGTAAAAAGCTAAGAAGATACGAGAACATTGGGATCATTCAAATAATTATTAATTTACATTTTACAACTACGATAAAATCAACAATTTTTGTAAATTCGTGACAATATTGACGATATCAGTTGACCGTAATTAGAAAATCCACACGTGTAGCAAATTTGACTTAAAAGGTCAATTTCCATATGTTTGAAACTCTCCAGGCTCTTAGAGAACTGCTTGTAGCACACTGTGATATCTCGAATCCAATATCAAGGTCGTGATGCAATGTTGCGCAGAGCCATTAAGGTGGTCTGGCAAAGAGTTAAGTAAAGGTCAGCCAATCGCAACCGAACCAGGGATTAAAATCACTGACCGATGGTTCTTTAAAAAGAAACAGTTTGAGCTTCAACGGCCAGATATCAGACCGTTCCGACCGGCAAAGTTTTCAGAAACGATTAAAACTGCTGTGAAAAATATTTCACTGCGTTTTTTCCACTGAATTCTCGGTTATTGGAAAAGTTCGCGTGATTATGCCGGAAGATCCACGATAATTCACGACGGTATATCCAGCAACTCGCAACTTTTACTTTCCTTTTTTCTTCTCTTTTTCTCTTTTTCTTTTCTTTTTTCAACGACGCTTAATCACCATCCCGGGCTTTTTTCCCCGTGGATGTATTCAAATCGGTCGTACCGATTGTTCAAATCACGAGCAAGTCGAGCAGAAGCCACGCGGAATGCCGTGTTTCACTTAATTCAGCGGTTTTCGAGCATGAACCTACTTAAGCCACTCGATCTTCCCGACCGTGGCGAAAGCGTCCTAAAGTATTCTGGTCGTTTTAGTTGCTTCGCTCGAGAAGCAGATTAATTAGGATTTCGCGTGGAAATGGAGAAAGAAAGACGGAGATGACGAATATAAGTGCCCTCCGCCCTCAATCTCCAATCGGTATGTTTTTCTCTGCTAATTCAAATGTCTCTAAGCGAAGCAGCGTTGTAAGAGGATTCGATTGTAATTACTGAGTTTTGGTACACGAAATACCAGCGAATAGAATTTGTTGCTGTATTTCGACTAGTTGAAACGGTGTTGGCTCAGGTTTCATTCGATTCAGCTGGTCAGAACGTTTGATCGTTATTTTGTGGAAACCTGAATTAGTTAATAGGTTGATATAGTATATATAAACTTGCGCACTCTATTTCAACGTTATAGAATTTACTTCTATTATTTCGTAATTAATTCTGTTACAGAATTCGAAAGCATTAACGATATTGTTAAGAGAAGGAGGAACAGAGAAATTTATTCTTTCTCTAAATGAGTGCTGGTTGAGATTTTTGTCTTTCCATTTTGGAATCAATTTTTCTTCGCAGGAAACACGAACGAAACACGTACTAACAGATAAACGCAATTAAATTCACTTCAAAGAGACAGCGAAACCGGTGCACTGTCTCAAATCACGATTGTTCTCGTAATTTCGAATCATTTCAATTTGCACAAATTAATCGATTCATGCTACGCACGATTAATTATCGATACCGAAGCGAAACGAAATAGACAACCTGGAAACTGAATTTAGCAAGTTTCTGCATTGTGTTCTGATTCCACTAATAATGTGACGGAATTAGGGAATTTTAGCAAAACTGTAATCCCGCAAAACATTATGATTTAACGAACGAATAATGAGATCTACTTTTGCATCGTACAGTCGCAATATTCTAAACATGTATCCGCGTGTAGTAAGTTATTCTTTATATTTTTCATGATGAAATTATCGTTGTGAAATATTTCATCCAACGTTTTCATCGTATGATTTTTAAACTGTTAGGACTCGACGCGAAGGTTATACGAAAAAATATATCGTTCGTATGTAGTACGGTTTTCGCTTCACATAAAAATGAATTATCGATAGATGGCAAATTTTTATGGAAATTTCAGTTTTTATAAATAGGATTAAAGAAATGGAACGTAAATAGAGAATCGCCTCATCCTTGAAATGTTACAACAAGTACCTTACTTTGGATGTTTTATATATTTTTGCATATTATGTATATTCGAGTTCTCGTAAATTCAAATCTTTCATAAACGCACAAACAACTACATGGCCCACGTCAAATATATTTTTCAAGTATCAAGTATCATTTTCAATTAATAGAATAAACCAAAGTGTTTTGTTCTTTTTATTTTAACAAAGAATTAAATAAATCAAAATGTGTCTTCTCTTCGTATAAACCATTAAAACTTTTGTGTAGATGTACACGATTCGTTACAGTTAAGCTTCGATATTCCAATATTCCTTTTTTACTCCTACATTCTCCTTTCCATCGTTCTTACTTCTCATCGATGTTCCCGTATTCCGATATAAAATCAACTGGTGACGTTTTGATTTCAGACCGGATATAAACGCGATAAAGGGATTGGCATCTTCGGGTTCTTCAGGAGCTGCCAAAGTACCTCCGTCGGCAGTGAATAGAGTCGCAGCCGAAGATCGTGAGCTTGCTCGACAAGGAAGCCTGGTGGATGGAGAAAGTATCAAGATCGTTATTCATCACGCGGACAATGACATGAGTAAGTATCTCGTAGTAGAATCTTTCATTAAAGTATCCTTCCAATGTTATTTGATATTAGCGCGTTGCGAGATTTTCATTGCTTCCTTCGCGCCCGAGGCGCGTTATCTGCTAACAATAACTTCGACGGTTATCTTGGTACTTCGAGGATCTCTCACGGATCCTCGAGCAAAAGTCTTGCTACGTAGGATGTTTGACGCAACTAAAATCAGAGATATAATGTTCCACTAATACCGACGTTATCGGAGATCGTTAAGTAAAAGGGTGATACGGAGATTAAATGGACCCGAGATGCAGTCGAATGTTTAAATGTCGAATTTAGGTCATTGCAGTTGCTTATGGAACGAAAGCGCCATTTACGCTGATCCAATTAGGAAAACGAATAACGCGAGAAAATTTCTCTTTATTTATATCCTCTTCTCGGTGTGGTACGTGTATTTCGTACGGGATGCTTTCGAGATTTGTAACTTTTCTCGTTAATTATCCAACGAACCTCGTTCTTGCAAGGTATTTCTCTCTTCTTTTTCTTGCTGAATGTAATTTCAATTTTATTATTTTAATTATTGTTTTTTTTCTCTTCTTCCCCTGGATTATTTTACTTTGTATCTTTTTCCGTTCTTTCGTCTCCTTTATTTCACGTTGTTATTTTATTTTCTCAAGTCCAACAGAGACGAAATTATTCTTAAATTCTTGAGGGCACTTCTCTAATGAGATTCAAATTTTTATTTACGTTAGATTTCGAAGAGAGAAAAAAAGGTAGTGGATTTTTAACGCAAAGTTATTAAAAGACCGTGCTCGTTGGACTAAAAAAATCAACGAATATAGAAAGTAAATGAATTAGCGATGAAAGGAATAACGAAGAACAGTTGACATTAGCAGATTTTTCAAAACTAAACATATAAGACACTGATAGGCAGATCCAAACAAATTCGCCGGTGTATTATGTTCTAAATAGGAGGCTTTCTCCCCGGCTGGTAATTAAATTCCTTTAATTCGGAATGGGGAATTTAATTTGGTGGATAATCTGGAACCGTGCTTTTCTAGTAAAAAGCGGAATATCCTTCCAAGCTCGTTCGTTATAATAGGAAACAGCTTTGTGAACGTTGGAAGCGACATTTACAAAAATTGTTTGATAGTAATATATATATAATGAATCCGCAGGGGAAAAGTGAAAAAAGTTGCGCATAAAAATATTAAGGCAATGAAGCGTAAAAAACTCAGTAAATGGTAATGATCAGAGAAAATTCTGATAAAAAAGCTTGTGACAAGACGTTTCTAGTAGCGGTTTTACGTAATCATTCGTCGCTTTTTCCATCGTGCTCGAGATGAAATAGGTTATTTTTAATACCTTTTCCTCTTATTAGAAGGAGAAAGGAAATTTCATAAATTACTTTAACGCAGAAATTTGCAATTTCCATCGGGGGACAGTTTTCAGAGCTGGTTATTTCAAGCCGTAGGATTTTGTTCAATTGAAAAATTCTCCTACATATCTGACTTGAAAAATTAATTAAACGTCGAGTTTCATCTTATGCGGCGTATGTTAAAATATACGATATTCCTAATTTTTCTATGTATTCAAAATATATTTAAAATAAGAAACGAAGTTTCTCATCGAGTTATAAAAAGCTCGAAATTAAAAGCAAAAGTTATTTTTAGCGGAAAGGTACGAGAAAAGATGTAGCGATACTGGAAAGTATTTACAACGATATCGCAAAATCCATATGCTAATATTCATACGATAATATTTTTGTCT